AGTCCCAAATCTGGTGGCTTGCTTTCTCGCACTCCCTCTCCTTCTCTTTCTCTTTGGTCAAATTAAATAGTAATAATAATAATAAATAAAACTAAATACATAATTCTTTTACAAAATCTTTACTCAAATATTACCTTCTCAATGAGGCTTAGCAGGCTACCTTATTTAACCCTGAAGCCTCTTAACATGACAATCTTTTTACCTTTTTTTTTTTTAAAGAATTAGTTTATTTAATTTTATTCATCATTATCATTTTCAATTTGACCAGCGAGAGAGACAGGAAGAAAGAGAGGGAAAGTGAGAACGCAAGCTGCCAGGTCCAGGACTTGAACCATGGCCAGCCATGTAGGAGTTCAGTCCCTTCCTTAATCACCACACCACCTGCCGGCCCTGAATATGACAATCTTAAATCACCTTTCCCCTAATCTAATTTGTCTTTTTTCCATGGCACTTGTCAATGTCTAATGTAATATTTCTGTTACTGATCAAGTGCGTACATTATTTATTGTCCATCTCCTCTCACTAGAATAGAGGCTTCATGAAGATGGGACTCACTGTCCATTTTGAAGAGCAGAATGTCTTTGCTGTCCAAAAGATTGCTTGGGGGAACCAGCAGTTAGCGTAATGGCTATGTTGCTGGACTCCCACGTAGTTGACCGCGGTTCAAGTCCTGGACTCAGTGACTTAAAACTCACGCCGGGCGTGTGTGCGTGCGTACCCAAGATCCCGAGAGGAGAATGGAGGAGAAGGGATTGCGGCGTGGCCATCCCCCCTGGGGGGTGATTTCTCGCTTTCTGTCTCTATGTCTCTGTCTGTCTGGCAAGCAAACGCGCCCTATAGTGAAAACCTCTCCAAAAAACAAACAAACAAACAAACAAAAGATTGCTTGGCATGTAGTAAGCTCTCAATAAAAACTACTGAATAAATCATTATATTAAACATGTATAATTTCTCTAGATCCCTGTAACAATCCTGTATGGTAGATATTTTAATCCCATTTCTAGATCAATAAAGTGAGCTCAGTGTCTAAGTCATTTGCTTAAATGAACACAAGTAAGCAAATGATGGATCTGGGCCCTCCTTTACTGCCATCTCCAAGTGTGCCTGGCAAATTGGTTCTCTTTCAACAGTTCAGGTGAGTCTCCAAAAAGATGGCACTTCTGAATGTTACTAACTCTACTTTTGCTCACTCTTCTTAATCAACCAAACTAAGAAATTTTTCTTACACTTTTGACAGTAAATCATATGTTGCCAGCATGCTACAGTTTCCTTGAAAGAAAGAGACGAGTCTAAGGATTCAAAAAGAAATATGGTCCCAGCATTTGGGTTCAGAGATCATTATGTCCAGGTATTATTTAGATTCATTAGTTTTAGAAAATGTTATCCTGTCAAATCGGATCTGATCCACTTGGAGATCTGGAGGGGAATTTTAGGTAGTTCATGGCTTTGTCTAAAATTTTCTTGATGCTAGCACAACTTTGTGACTGTACTAAAAATCACTGAATCGTATATGTTAATGGGTGAATTGTATGGTATGTGAATTATATCTCAGTAAGGCTGTTATTAAAAATAATATTTGGGTTTGGTTCAGATCATGGTTCAGCAAATTTGTTTCAGTTCAAAGTTTATGGTTCAAAAAAAAAATGTTTATGGTTCACTTTGGTTTGAGTCATGTAAAGAGATCAAAAAAAAGAGAAAAAAAAAACCTGGGAATCATTTCAGTATTTGACCCAGAGAAGCTGAAATTTTTTAGACAAGGTAACCAAACAGACCCACAAAGGCATTATTTTAATGCTTCAAGTTAACATCTCTATAGAAGAGATCTGACAGGTGCCATCCACAGCAACCAAAGGTGGTTCATGTACACTTTGAGTTTTAAGTAAGTGCTAATCATGGTTTCTAAATTATTTAAAAAGGAATACAAAAAGTTAGAGATAGAGATGTGCATGTCTGTCCCTGAAGGAAGAGATAGGGGGAAGGAAGTGAATGATATATAACTTCCCTGAAAATGCTGGTTCAAGATTAATGACAAGAGTAGCCTTTATAATCTATAAAGCAAAATCTGTAAAGCTCAGGAATGAGAAAATACCACAGATGCGAATGTACTGGATTAGGGTTAGGGTCAACTTTGTGCTTCTCTACTTATTGATATAACACAAATACTGAAGAAAATTCTCTTTCAGTAGGTGTTTCTTAAGATCTAAGGTTTAGTATGGTCAGTTCTACATACTGAACACCGTAAAAGAAACCAGTGTCAGAGTTCTCTGAGTTCTTGCTCCTGTAACATTATGTGCTTTAGATGAAAGATCTCAATCTTCTGTAAATAAAAAGATTAAACAGAAATTTATTTGCTTATTTATAATTTATAAGCCATCTTCTTCCAAAGATGATCTTTTTAAGAATTATTTTATTTAACTTTATTCATCTATTTATTTTAATTTGATCAAAGAGGGACAGAGTGAGAGAGAGAAGGAAAGTGAGAAAGTAAGCCACCAGGTCCAGGACCCAAAATACAGTCGGTCATGTGGGAGTCCACTGCTCTTAACCACCACGTCACCTGCTGGTCCCCAAAAAAGATTTAAGATGGTCAAGGACACTGGTTATAAAAAAAACTCTTGGGTACAAACTAACTACACTTTTTCTGCCCATGATTACCTGTAAATAAATAGCATAGTAGGTGCACAGAGTGGGTACTCAAGATATACACATGATTAAATAAAAACAAGGAAAAGATAAAACTTAAGAGGTTAGAGGAAGATATTTATAGAAAACAACAGCAATATGCACATTTCATTAAATCATAAACTCTGAAAATAAGAGTTGCTTCCAGCGCCAATGCTTTGTATGGCTATTATTCTGGGTGTCCATTCACCCTTTCAATAATTATTTATAGAATAACTACTATGTACCAGGTACTGGCTATCAATAGTGAGTGAAATATGGAGCTTAGAATTTTTCTGGTAAAAACAAAACAAAACAACAATCTTCTAGGTATCAGCAGAAGCATAATGGTTACATTGCTGGACTCCACACAGTCAACCACAGTTCAAGTCTCAGATCCAGCAGCTTAAAACTTACAATGAATGCTATGCGTGAGTGCCCAAGATCCCAAGGGGAGAATGGAGGAGAAGAGATCGCAGTGTGGTCATCCTCCAGGGAAATGATTTCTCACTTTCTGTCTCTCTCTGTCTATCTGGTGAGTACGTGTGCCTTTATAGGAAAAATCTCTCTTAGAAAGAAAGAAAGAAAGAAAGAAAGAAAGAAAGAAAGAACGAACAAACGAACAATCTTCTTGAACATATGACATCAGTGACCAAAGAGGGTCAAGAGTATTTGCCTGAGATTTTCCTGTGAATTGAGAGAAGATTCAGAGAAAGCCCAGACACCCAGGGTAAATGTCTATCTATCCCTCTTCCAAACTTTTAAAATTCTGTTAGCTACCTTGGAATCTTTTTTTTTTTTTTTGGAGAGGTTTTTGCTATAGGGCACGTGTGCTCACCAGACAGACAGAGAGAGACATAGAAACAGAAAGCAAGAAATCACCCCCCAGGGGGGATGGTCACGCCGTAATCCCTTCTCCTCCATTCTCCTCTCAGGATCTTGGGCACGCACGCACACGTGCCCGGCGTGAGTTTTAAGCCACCGGGTCCGGGACATGAACCATGGTTGACTACGTAGGAGTCCAGCGACATAGCCATTACGCTAACTGCTGGTCCCTGAGAAATTCTTAATAATATAACTTTTAATATATATATATGAGGCCAACAAAGCCAAGGGAAGTTAAATGACTTACTTGCCCTATCCCATAGGAAGGCAGTAGCAGATCCCGAAAAAGAACACAAGTCTCGTAGGTTCAGCTTGGGTGGTGCAATGGTAGTGTGAAACTCTGCTAACGCTGGAAGTAATATGGAAGTTTGGGGGATTCAGTTCCCGGGAAGGCCTGCACACACTAGGAGTACATGCTGATGGCCCTGGCTAGTTGGAAAAGGCTAGAGGTGGGGATCATGGCATAAGGCCCTACTGAGGGTGCTGTCTTTCTTTCTTTTTTTCTTTGGTTTGCCATAGAGCATATGCACTCATCAGAAAGACAGAGAGAGAGAGAGAGAAAGTAGAAAACACAGGACTAGCAGATGTATAGTGGTTACATGGCTGGATTCCCACGTAGCCAACTGTAGTTTGAGTCCTGGACCTGGTGGCCTAAAACTCAAGCCAGGTGTGTGTGCATATGTGCCCAAAATCCCAAGAGGAGACAGAGGAGAAGGGACTGTGGCGTGGCCATCCCCCTAAAGGGTGATTTCTTGCTTTCTGTCTCTGTCTCTCTGGTGAGCACACATACTCTATGGCAAAAAACTCTCTCTAAAAAAATTTTTTTAAAAAGAACCCCCCCTTCCAGCGGGGATGGCCATGTCACAATCCATTCTTTTCCACTCTCTCAGGATTTTGGGCATGCATGCACACATGCCTTGTGTGTTTTCCAAGCTGTTGGGTCCAGGACTCGAACTGCATAGTCAGCCATGTGGAATTTAGCAGCCTTAACTTCCATACCACCTGCTGATCCTCTTGTCTTTCATATCTTTCATGAAATAAAAACAAAAATGAACTTAGAAACAAAAAACACAGGTCTTGGGCCAGCCCGTGACATGGTGATTGAGGTGGCTGATCCCACATGGCTGACTGTGTGATTTAAGTCCTTCACCAGACAGCTTGAGGGACATGCTGTCTGGTGTGTATGTGTGCGTGCCCAAGATCCTGAGAGAAAGATGGAGGAGAGGGGATCACAGTGTGGCCACTGCCCAACTCCAACTCCCTGGGGGAATTGCTTTCTCATTTTCTCTTTCTCTCTCTCTGTCTCTAGTGAATGTAGGCATCCTATGGCAAACTAAAAGAAACAAAAAGAACAATAACAACAAAAAAATAGAGGTTTCCTGATTCCCAACCCCAAGCTATATTGTAGGTTCAAGTGAAAACAAGTGTTAGAGAAAGGAGTCAATGTATAGTACCTCATGGACCACAGGACCAAGCAGAAAGTCCAGGTGTTGGCACAGTTCTCCAAGGTTGGCTAAGCTGCTGGCCCTGTGAGCACTATCTGGGTCTCTCACTCCTCTCAGGAAAGTGTGGATCAAAGGTTCTCGATACTTTGCAAGCATATCTCCTAATTTAAAAAAAAAAAAAAAAGATGCAAAGGCATTTTTTATAATGTTAGTAGCAGTTATCTTCAGAGAGTCAGATTACAGGAAACTTCTTAAATTCACATATACATACAAGAAAATGAGTATGTTATAAATATATAGCTTAATAAACTTTGGCAAAGCCAACACAACTATCATTAGCCCATTGTCACACAAATAGCAAGACCCCAATTACTATGCTAGACCCCAGTCATTCCCATGCTAGACCCCAATCATTACCCCATTACTATTCCTACATTATTATACTACCGTCTTGAATAAGCAAATTGAATGAAGGACAGTCAAGGAATTTTGGGTCCATGTCAGAGAGAACTATGATTCACTCACTCATTTGACAAACAGTTATTGACAGGTTTAGTAAGTATATGGTAGTATATCCCAGATGTTTGGGATATGCCAGAAGGTCAAAGACAAGGGTCCCTCCCTTGTGAAGTTTATAGTCGGTGTAAATGATAAATTATGTTAGAAGGTCATAAATGCAGGACCAGCAGATGGTGTAGAGATTACATTACTGGACTACCACATGGCCCACCACAGTCTGAGTCCTGGACCTGGCGGCTTGCAACACATGTTGGGTATGTGTGTGTGCATGTCTAAGATCCCGGGAGGAACGTGGAGGAGAGGGGATTGCGGCATGGCTATTCCCCCTGGGGTGGGGGGGTGACTTCTCACTTTCCCTGTTACTGTCTGTCTCTCTCCAGCAAGCACACATGCCTGAGGCAAAAATCTCTGAAAAAAGAAAAAGAAGGTCATAAATGCTAAGGGAGAAGTAAAGTAAGAGAAGTAAAGAATAATAGGGATAATGGCAGATTTTAATTTTTAAAAAGGTGATCAAGTGAGATGGTGGCATTCAAGCAAAGACCGGAAGGTAAAGGCATCAGTCATGTGGGTATCTGCACAAGAGCATACAAGGAACCAAGGGAACAGTTAGTATAAAGACCCCATGGAGGACCATGTCTGGCATGTCTGAGGAGCACTGAGGACTGAGGCTAGAGAGATAACAGCCCAGGGGGAGTGGTGGTGGAGATCCTGACAGGCCCTGTAGGTGACTGAAAGGATTCAGGATTTTTCTCTGAGGGCAGTTTAAAAAACACACTGGGAGCATGTACGCGGGTGCTCAAAATCCCCAGAGAATGTAGAAAAAGGGACTGTGGCATAGCCATCTATCCTGGGGGGCGGGATGCCTTCTCACTTCCCTCCCACCTCTGTCTTTCTGGCAAGTGCACGTGCCCTATTACAAATTTTTACTTTTTAAAAGATTTAATTTTATTTATCATCATTATTATTATTTTTAATTTTCTACAAGACATGTGTGCTTACCAGAGGGAGGCAGAAAGGGAGAGCGAGCGAGAGAAAGCCACCAGGTCTGAGACTGGAACCACGGTCAGCTACACGAGAATCTAGCACCTTAACCACCACACCAACTGTTGGCCCCTATAATAAAATTTTAAAAGAGAGAGAGAGAAGCTTCTGGAGAATTTAGAGCAAAGGAGGGCAAAAAGAACGCTCTGGCTGCAGTGTTGAGAACATACTGCCGAGGCACTGTGTGTATCTCAGATGGAACAGGGGTACAAGTTGGAAACCTACTGCAGTAAGCTGAGGGAAGAGAGGATGGCAACTTGAATAGTTAAGGTGGTAAAGGAAAGATTTTGCATATATTTTGAAGATAGAGGCAGCATGATTTTCTGATGACCCTCTAGCATTTTTGTTTCTGTGACTGTGAAAATAAGTTTATTATCAATTGAGTTGGGAAAGTCTCTAGGTGAAGCAGGTTTGGGATAGGAGGAAGGATCAGGGTTCAGTTTTAGACACATTGAGTAGGTAGTTGAAGATGTATGAGTAAAGTATTCAGAAGACAGGTCTGAGCTAGACATACACACACACACACACACACACACATGTACATTTTAGAATCAATGGAATGTAGATTATATTTGAAACCTTGAGACTATAAGATACGATAACCAAGGGAGTAAGTATAGGCAAAGAAGAGAAGACTAAGGGTGGAGCCTGGCCCTTTAACATTAAGAGCTCTGGGGGCCAGTATTTGGCATGGTGGTTAAGGCACTGGATTCCCACATGGCTGACTGCAGTTCAAGTCCAGACCTGGAAGCTTGAAAATGACACAAGCATATGTGTTTGTGCCCAAAATCTCAAGAGCAGAATAGAGGAGAAAGGATTCAGGCACGGCCATCTCCCCAGGGAAATGATTTCTCACTTTGTCTCTGTCTCTCTCTCTCTTTGGCAAGCCCACGTGCCCTATGGCAAAAAAAATCTTTTTAAGAAAGATTTTTGCCATAGGGTACATGTACTCATTGGAAGGACAGAGACAGGAAGCATATCACCCCCAGGAGGATGGTTATGCTGCAATCCCCTCTCCTCTCAGAATTTTAGGCATGCACACACTCATGCCCAGCGAGAGTTTTAAGTCACGAGATACAGGACTCAAACCACAGTCGACTAGGTGGGAGTCCAAAGATGTAACCATTACACTATCTTCTGGTCCTGCTATGGTCAAAAATCTTAAAAAAAGGCAAAACAAACAAACAAACAAAAATTAAGAGGTCTGGGAGGGAAGGAACTAGCAAAGGCTGAAAAGGAATGACCAGGTAGATAGAAGGGAAATGAGTGTGATATCCTAGAAATTAAAGGAAGAAAGTGAATCAGAGAGGAAGGAACAGCTAACTGTATCAAATGCTGCTAACAGATTGGGTAGGAAGGCCTCTAAAAACTGACCATTAGATTGAACAACAATGAAATCACTGTTAACCTTGATAAGAACTGTTTTGATGGGATGGTTGGGTGAAAGCATTATAGAAGTGGATTTACAGGGGCTGGTAGACGGCATGGTCGTTAAGGTGCTGGACTCCTGCATGGCTCCTGCATGGCCGACCACCATTTGAGTCCCAGACCTGGTGGCTTGCTTTCTCACTGTCTCTCTCTCTCTCTCTCTCGCTATGTTCCTCTCTGGTCAAATTAAAATAAATAAATAAAGTTAAATAAAATAATTTTTAAAATATAAAAAAATGCAATAATTCTTAAAAAAGTAAAAGTGGATTTACAAAAAAATGGAAGAAAAAGGATTAGAGACAGAAAGCTACTTGAGATTATCTGCAAACTAGATCCAAGAAGTGGGGTGGTAGCCGGTCAAGGAAATACAGTCAAAATAAGTTTTTGTTTTGTTTATTTATTTTAAAGAGAAAAGAATTAGTAGCATGGTAAGATATTCAGAATCAAATGTCTTTTATATATGTATCCTTATACATGGAAACATCTTCCTCTACAGGTATATCAACAACTAAAACTACTGGGTCACTAGAAAAGTTATGATGTATTTTTCTATGTAAAAATACGCCATGACTTTTCTAATAACCCATATTATGGCTTGTCCTTGGTTCTGAGGATCTACTTCCACAGTCCTAGTTATAGAACACTCTTTTTGTAGCCTTAAGGATATATATTTACAAAAACCTCTAAAAAAAAAAAGGATATATATTTACATGGTGACAAATCAGCTTCTGAAGGTTTTGTTTTAAAGTTACCTTTTTAAAAAATTTTAGCTCAACTTTTTTAAAAAAAATTATTTTATTTAACTTTATTTATTTAAATTTGACCAGAGAGGAACAGAACGAGAGCAAGAGAGAGAGAGAGAGAGAGAAAGTAGCTAGGTCCAGGACTCGAACCATGAGCAGCCATGTGGGAATCCAGTGCCCCTAGCCATCATGCCACAAGCCGGCTCCAAGTTGCCTATATTTTTAAATTGCCAGATGGTGCATGCTCTCACCTAGAGAGACACAGAGACAGAGAGTTTTGAAAGAGAGAAGACACTCTCCAATGGGCATGGTCACACCACAATCCCTTCTCCTCCATTTCTTCATCCAGCCAGGAATTTGGTTACTCATACACATGTACCTGGCATGTTTTTCATGCCACTGTAACCAAGATTTATATCATGGGTGCCATTTAGAATTTGGCTCCGTTAACCTAGGCCATGGGCTGGCCCTCAAGTCATGTATTCTTTTTTTTTTTTTAATTTGTTATAGGGTACATGTGCTTATTAGACAAAGGGAGGAAAAGGGAGAAATCATCCCTCATGGAGGATGGTCACATCACAATCCTTCTTCCTCGATTGTCCTCTTGGGATATGGGACAGTGCATACTTGCTCCCAGTGTTTTTCAAGCCACCAGTTCACAACTTGAACAATGCAGTTAGCCATGTGGGATCCAGTCGCCTTAACCACACCACCAGCTGACCCAAGTTACCTATCATTTTTTTCTTTAAGAGAGAGATTTTTGCTATAGGGCGTGTGTGCTCCCTGGAGAGACAGAGAGACAGAAAGTGAGAAATCACCCCTCACAGGGGATGGCCACACTGCAATCCCTTCTCTTCTGTTCTCCTCTTGGGATGTTGGACATGCATGCACACATGCCTGACCTGAGTTAAAGCCACTGGGTCCAGGACTAGAACTGCAGTTGTCTACGGGGAAGTCCAGCGATGTAACCATTACATCATCTGCTGGTCCCATGAATTACCTAATCTTAATCACCAAAATGATAGCCTGTACAGCAAAACCATCAACTTCTACCAGGCCCAGCTAAAATGCCACTTCAGCTGTGAACGCTTTCTCATCCCCTCAGTCAGCTTTAATTAGCATTTCTTGAAAATCCCACAGTACTTTGTACTTAAGTCGCTTAGGCTTAAATCATATTTGTCACTAATGTCTTATTTCATACATGTTTTAAACCATTATCCATTTTTCCCACAAGACTATACATTTATTGAGGGCAGAACTTCAACTGCTTTGCCTCTGTTTCCACCGGTTCTTAGGAGTCTTTGCACATACTAGGTAATCCACAAATGGTAATGTGGAATTGAATTCATTATTTGACAAAGCATACCTATGTGCTAGGTATCATGCAAATGTTCTATGGATATAAAAACTGATAAAAAATACTTTACCTT